TGATTGATGGTTCCCGTAGTAATGAAAATGCCGCTTTTTAGACCACACGTGCGTATGGCCTGCCAGACGAGATATTTTTTCGGGAACTTCGATAGTTTGATGGTTTTGAAAATTTCAGCCACCTTCCCTTTTTCTGATGCGGTATAAAACTCCGGTCCCGGAAGCTGCTTGAAATCCACCTTCACATAAGTTTCGTCGACACAATCGAACTTTGTAAGCAGATTCGTATACAGCTTTCGGGACCGTTGCTTTGTCGACGTGTTTTGTTTGTCTTGTTAATCTTGGTTCGCCACCTTTACCTTCTTAAACGTTGACAACCCGGCTCGTTTGACCAATTTTTACGCGTTCCAGACTTTAATTGAAAATAAATGTCACATTTGCAAGCATAATTTGAAAATTGTCGCCAAAGAAATCATGTCTTGGAAATAAATCCCAGAGAAAATGGTGAAACATATTCATCCAAAGAATGATAGTAATTTTATCATAACACAATTTTCCAAATGACCTTCGAGCACTTCCGTATATCCAATAATAATCATTAAATGGTCAAATCTAAGACACTCCGAATAACATTACAAATGAATCCGCTTCTGATCCCATCCTGAGCGATCCTTATTTGCCTTTGATAGGCTACCGTCAGTCTGATGAAATCCTATCACAGTCGAGTAATCAGTAAGTTAGAACCTATTGCGATTAATTTAGACGAGGAAAATGCCTCACTCAACCTGCGTACGTCCATGCACCCTCGGGAAACCTTCCGAATTGAGCTCGTCAGCTATGCAAGGCAAGGAGAATCACTCGGAGGAAGCACCACACTGCCTAGGAGGGTAAAATCACAACATTTCTCCAGACAGCTCGCATGCAAATGAGAACAATTCATGATACTATTTTTTCCATCTTCTATCTCCGGCTTGTGCTTGGACGACTTGTTGTTTTTACTGTTGTTATGCTCGCCGTCGTCTACTTATTCTTGGACTTGGGCGTAGTGATGGTAGTGTGAGATAGTAGATGGCAGATAGGGGCACTACTGGGCTGCTCTGTTTTCATTCATATTGCGCTGCGTCGGCTCGGTCCGTCGGTCGGTTGCTTGGGTCATCAAAGGGAAGGGCGGGGGGTCAGTGTTAGCGAGCTAGGTCAGGGAGAGCGCATCCAAGCGGGACCGTGCAACAGTTTGGATGTTTATTTTTGTTTTGTCCGTACACATCGCGCTCGTCTATCCCGACTTAATTCAATTCAGTTGTAATGTACATGTATACACATAGTAAGAACATACACGTACAGCTACCTACAACACACAAGACTGCTCCGTCTCGACCGCGATATGTGTGGTTTTGGCAATGCTTGGCCGGGATGGTGGAATCGAATGGATGCGAGGGAGGCCCTGGATTATTACTGAGCTACTGCTTCCTACGGTTGATGAGTGAATCATCTTGTGTTGATCCGGCAGGTTCTCGTTCTCTCCCATCCATTGGATCGCTCTCGAGCACATACCCGCACTTACATTGTTTGTAAATATTACGCCATTTTACGAGCACACCACAGATAAGTTAATAAAAGTTTAAATTACTCTTTAATATTCCACTCATTTTTCCACCCGCCATGCCTCGTTCGCCCTGCCGTCTACAAACTTCATCCTAGAGGAGCTATTTTCTTGTGGTTTTCCTTTTCCCTGCGGGCAATTTTTGCCTTGGTTCTTGCTGCAGCCACTCTCGATACCGTGGATGCTAGTGTTGTGGAGGAGCGCTTGTTTTATGGCACTTTGATTCACTGCTCTATTTTTGGGAAACATCTGGGTTTCGCCACGATTAAGCATTGGATGGAGTGGAAATGTTTTGAGGTGCTGCATTTCTACTGAGGCAGGTGTGTGTTTGCTTTGTAGTTTTGTGGTGTTAAATTTCGTAATGAAATTTGAATCATTTGATTGAACGACGACGCCACAAATATGAAGCTTATGTACGCAGTTCAACAACAAATTCCATTACAAATTTCGCCCCAACCAGCAAACCAATTCTCGATCGGCATCCATTAAGATTCATCAACGTTCTCAATGAACAGATGCCCTCATAATGCTGAACGGTGCCGTTCCCATCCCCTCGCCCTATCAACGTCGAGTTCGACGCTCGACGCGACTGAATTGCTACGCCAGCTGCCTCAGCTGCCCAAGCCGTTATCATGAATAGCCTGTTTTGATTAATTTATTATTGATCTCCGCGTTCATTTAAAATAAAATATGTCAATAATTGAAAGTGCTGACGTCGCCGTCCGACGTACTGTTTCGCTTGTTTGCTCTGTGAAAAAGTTCGCCGCTCGTTTGCTGCCACCATGCTGCCGATCCATAGCATCAGAGCAGTGGAGGTGGCATCCGAGAAGCAGCTTCGTCATCAATTTGAGTGTTGACTGATGTTCGTTAGGATCGCGTGCGCCCTGCGCTGATCTGTGCTCTATCTCTCTGGAGTTGTCGGTCGGTGTTTAGGTTGCAAAAAACGGAAAAGCCATGCACCCTTCAGACCCGGACCGGTGATGATGCCCGCTTGAAATGACGGCGATGACGATAATGATTACGACGATGATGGTGTTAGTTTTGTAAATATTGATAGGACTTTTTAGCTCGGTGCGGGTGGTGCTGCGAGAAAAATGGTAGTGAGTGCGATCAAAGGTCTTCTGCTCTAGGGGTAGTGTTATTCTCTGGAGTTGGTTAATTTTATTACGTATTATGGGAGGGACCGAACGGGATTTTTACTTACCGGAAATTTGGTTATTTTGTAGCACCTAAATATTGTTATATTATTCTGTAGCTAATATTTAGAATTTCGTGATAATGGTGAGTCAGAATAATCAATTTTGACTGAAATTCATCTCAATGATGATATTTTTCATCAAAAGGATCGACGTTATCGAAGACTGAAAGCTATCGCGGAGTGATGTAGATGTTCCTAAAGCTCGTTATATGATACAAATGTAGCTTTTTATTGTGAAGGATGTACGACATACAGGACTCACATCTTTTGAAGTAGTGCATGTCACCTAAATTTGAAACCTAGATTGCAACTGGCTGGTCCTCGTGAAGATCCGCATCATCTGGTAAAATGATCACCCTAAAACACCATTATTTATCCAACAACTTGTAGAATCATGAAGAGAGGGTATATTTTGGATAAGCTATGTGTGTTGTGTAAAATCTCCCTAATATTTGTGCTTTACATGGTAGAATGGAGGAATTTGTTAACAATTATTTATAACTCCTGTACAATATTACGCTGATTTATGTGTTTTACCAGTGATGGAGATGTTCGCTCAATTGCAAGATAAGCTTCGCATCACTCAAGCTGCTTTTCGCAGAGCTGAGCATCGACAATATTTTCATCTCTCATTCTCAAGGAATCAAAAATATCTCCAAATGACAAAATGACAAGCGATCACCGAGCTGAACGATAACGCTATGTCAGATATGGAAAGCAATAATAATATAATTTTCTTCCTTTTTCTTCATGACAAACAATTTCTGCCGCACTTTTTTTCTTCAATAAAATGGGAGAATCGGGCAAAATGTTTAATTATCTAAATATTGGGCAAGGTGAGACAAGCATTTTTAATGCTTTAAACATATTTACAATGATATAATAAACGAGTATTCGATATTACATGCGTGAATTCGAATACTACTTGATTTATTAAATTAAAGGAGATAATCAGGAAAAATAGGTAAGAAGCTGATATTTGAGATATTTGATAATTGAGAGATATTTGATAATTAAGACCATCACCATTAAATTTCTCACACATTTTTACAGAGGGAAAGTGCGCGAACGATCAAAATAACAGGCCTATCATGACTTTATGTTTCAGTAAAAGTAGGAAATTGGGCAAAATGGGTAATTTACTGAAATTTTCTCAAGATGAAACCATCACCATTCGATTCCTCAGTCATTTTTACAAAAATACAGTACACGAGGGTATAGTATGACAGGCACTAACGCGTTTAACCGTGTAACACTAGTGATTAACTTCATAATTAGGGGAGTATTAGGAAAAATGGCTCCATATATCAGCTTACCTTTCGATGTAATTTTTTGTAATTTTTTGATCCCTAAGGTGTTTTCCTTCAAGAAGGACTTTAATTGGACAGGTTTTCTTATCACTGACTACTGACTTTTAAAAAATATCGAAAATAAGGAAATAGGGGTAAAATTGACTGAAATGCATAGTCTGCACAGACTGGTGATGTTTAAAACCATTTTCAATGGATTCTCTAGATGTTTTTCTACAAGAATGATCATATTTCAGAACGTATATCAACCACAATGAGGTATTTTTAAGTCATTTTTACTAAATTTTAAGAAATTTGAGTAAAATGCTCCAAAAATCCCAACTTGCTCTATTCTGCACAGGACGAATCTATTCCCACTGGATTTCTGAGAATTTTTCCCATAAGAATTATTCTATTTGCAAAGGTTAAATCAGCGCTGATCAGAGATAATGAATTTTGCTCCTTTTATGTCGATTTTTTCCCACTGTGCATCGTGTTGGGATCGAGAAGAGAATGAGTGATAGTTTATCGAGATTACCATCAGATCTTCTAAAGACCAATACTGTAGGTAGATGGTGATGATCCTATTGTAGTGTGCGATAGGGGATAAGGGTTGCAGTGTCTTGGTGACATTACTCCCGAACAATGTCCTTCTTATGACAGCAGTGGGGAGTCAGACGCATATTCAGTCTAAAAAAACAACCGATGTTATACTAACAATCCTTTCCCTCCCCGATGACCATTGTTATCGGCGCTGTTATTGATCTTGAAGATTCTGATTCATCGTTGTTACCGGATAACCGATTGCTAATGTTCAGTACATTTAGATCTTTGTTCAAATTTTGCTGTTTAACCTAACCTTTGCCAAAATTTGAAAATTTGGTTAAAAAATTAGTTTTCGTCATAGTTAGATCATTTACTCAGTCTATAAATGGTACTTATTGACTTACTTTTTTATATTCTCTTGTTACAGGTATGTGCAGAATGATGTCAATGAACAAAATTTGTAAGTAAATATGTATTGTGTGTTTGGTGAAGTTGTGACTGAGATTGTGCTGTGATTTGTGATTTGAGTGACAATGTGATTTTGAGTGAAAAATGTCTGATTGACATTTTATATTATTGTTATCAATTTCGTTAGTAAGGCATAGCAACTATTGCATTACATTTTATATCCATGATTTTGTTCAAATTTATTAGCTACTAATTTAGAAATTTTTCACCATGAATCAATTGACATAAAAAGAATTCAATTAAGGATTTAAATACTCACCATGTTTTTTTAGTCACAATTTAATACAAATTTTGCAGGGTGGATATGATCAAGTGTTTTGATAAATTCGTTCAAACCAAAGTCCTGAGTGTCTTGTAATAAAAAATATTTAAAATAGTCTACCTATCTTTGAGGTGTCATAGTTGTCTTTCGAAATCATGCACTTAACTATTACAATCTGAGCAAATCCACGCCAACTGACGAATCGAATTGACTTTACCCTGTCCGAATTCCATGACACTTTGCAGAATTGTTCGCTAGGGGCAATGAACCTTGTGAATTCGGCCATGTTGTCTCTCGCCTAATTGGCTTATTCGATATTTTTCAATAAACCATAGCATGAAAGCGGGTCAATCGAAATGATGGACTCTGAAAAACAAATTCACACAACAAATTCACACAAGCAAAATACTGTTAAAGCTTCATTAGCAAAAAAGGAACGTTTTTAAGATTTTTAAACTTATCTTTGGAAGATTTTATCCAAAATGTTAACTTTTCTGACACTTTAAAGTTACAATAGCACAATTAAGCGACGTTTTATGTAATTCTGAGATGAAAAATTTGAAATTAGTTTACTTTTTCGCTATTTGACGTGGATTTGCTCTTCTTAAAATCTCTAATGCCGAAGAACTTTTAAAATCTTATTAAAAATTCTGTCACCTCAAAGCTTTTATTCCTGCTGCGCCCACTCAACTGGTTTACCATTCCATTAAGAGCTCCTACTTCACTGTTACTTTCTCACACTACTTGATGGGAGTGAGGGACCAACATATTGCCTATTCTGCAAAGAAGTCTAAAAGAAGGCTGAGCTGAAGTGCACAGTACCAACCCCCCTCCACCCCCACACACCCACACCGGAAGCTTTCGGAAACTATTGCACGACATGCAAATTCAATTATGCTCCCGTCGTCGTCGTTGTCGTCTTCATCGACATTCGCATATCTTTTCACCGTTTCGTCAGTCATCAAATCGTTCGGCGTTCTTTTCCCATCAGCTACCATTTTTCTGGAAAAGACAACCAGAAGACGACGCCGCGCGGTAGTCTAGTGTTTTAATTCATGCGCTCTCTAAAATATGTAAATCATTGTCTCGACAGCAGTATTCACTTTCGCAAATGCCAATCGCTTCAGAGTCGTCGTCGTCGTCATCGTCGGTGTGTGTAGTCGAGTGACATTGAAAACTTAATTCGATTGAATCTGCTCGCTTTTCTCGTTCTATGCTATGCTCGCATCGAATCGCAAACACAGAGAATCAGCCAAGATTCTTCCTGCAACAATCCATTTCGTTCAACTGGACGACGGACTCACAACAGTCTGCCCTCTTCTTCTGATGAGCGTAATTATTTGTTCCATTTCTAATTATACATGGGGAGAGCAGCAGCGGGCAGACAATTTTAGAGCTTCCACCGATCTGGCAGCACGGAGTGTCCCAAATCGATATCGACGTTTTTACCTCCGTTTCCGTCGTCGTCGCCGTAGCCGTCTTCGTACCACTTTTGGAGTGTCGGTTGCTTCGAATGTGGCCGGCGATGTGGATTAGTCAGTAGGTACGAGCTGTCTGGCTGTCAAGAATTCTGGCCCAGACAAACCGGTAGGCACAGGAAAGGAGGGGAATGTGTTTGGATCGAAATAGCACTCTGAACGATGTTTCATAATTTGACGATGAAATTGAAGTTTTAGGTCAAAATCGAATGCTCGCTTGGCTGGAAAAGAGGATTAATGGGGGGGGGGAGGGAGAGATGTCGGTCGTGATTGGTGCATTTTGGAAAATACTGCGTTGCGTTATTCCAGTATCATAATGAGTCATCGACGATATTAAAGTTTAAAATGTTCGTTTGCAATGGACTTCAAACTAACGGGGAGCTTATTTTGCAATTTAGGGTTTCGTGATTATGGAAATGTCGAAAATTACAACTGAATTGTCATGAAAAGATTAAAAATCTTTATTTCTGAAATTATTTACTTTTCAACCGAACTCAAATCGAGTGGAACGAAAATAGATTTCGTCAGAATTCTACGCATATCACCAGCAGCATTAAAGACCATTCTCAAAATTTCCCATTCACAATGCTTCAAATTTCACTCCCGCCAGAAAGCACTCCGTTTTGACCTAAAATCAGAACACAACCACTTTCGGGCCGTCTCATTTTGCCAAAGTCCACAAACACGCCAGTCATTCACACTCGGCTCGACACGCCGCACAGCCATATACCAGGACCCAGCACCGGACGGACGACCGAACGGACGAAACATGGCTCTGAGCTGGAAAAGCCTACAAACCAAAGCCAAACATCGTTCGTCTTCTTCTCTTCACGTCGTTGTTGGCGTGAACATTTCCGGGGCTCCAGTTCCCTCACTGGTGTTTGTACCATTTTTTAATGAAATTTCCATTCAATCCGGAAACATATGCTCCATCCGTGGCTCTGGCTATGTACCAGTCGGTCCTCCCTCCGTGCGTTTCCTCGATTTCCAAAAATCCGGAGAAACGTTGCCAAAGCCTACAGCCTACATACCACCAAATGCATCCAAATGTATGACCAGCATGCAGATGTTGGCGGGGAAATCGGCTGGAATTAGCCAGCTGTGCCAGAGAGCACCCGGAGATGAAGTTGTGGCCGTGTATCACAATTGCAAATTAAATTTCATCCACCGAATTCGGAGGAGAGGGATTTTTTTGCGTCTCGCATACCCAGTTTAAGGGCCTTCCGGGTGGTTCGATCGAACTAAAGGGCAAACATTGTTCCAGGAAAAACAATTTGCACTAATTTAAAGTGCTCAATTTAGATATTTCGCGGTCGTGAACTAAGCCAGACAGGTAAAAGCTCAATAAGAACATAGAACGTCTGCTCTAATGGAGCGGTTCTCAAAACTTTCGTTGATTGCGACCTACTCTGAGAATGTTCATTGCTTTCCTTTTCTTCTTCTTCTTCTTCTTCTTCTTCTTATTCTTCTTCTTAGTTGTTTTGGCGCTCTTGGACGAATTTGTAAACTAAGAGGCAAGTACAACGATACACTCGAAGACTTCTCGGACCGGGACCGCTGTCTCTGATTTGGGAATACCGTGTCTAAACTGACGAGGTTATCTGAGACTCACACAAACTTGTGAATCACCAATATTGAGGCTAAAATGGTACATAGAATTCCAAACAATCCCCATCTGAGTTGAAAAAATCACCAGCATTCACTATGAAATCAATGTTTCATCCATAGTGAACTTTGATCAATTTTAGTGATTTTTTTTTAGCTCTGATACCCATGCCTTATTCACGCCAAAATGTCCTAAAACGTGAACATTACTTATGAGGTAACTAAGGTCACTGATGCGGTTAAAAAAAATGGATTTTTTTGGTCTTAAGTCGTAGAGTCTAAAGAATACGGGAGAATTTATACCCGGGAACTAGAGGACAAGAGGACTACCTGCTCGCTCCCGGCATGAAATTTATCTCTAATCGCGTTTTTCTCGAAATCATGTTTTCCAAGTCGGGCGGAAACGAAAGCCAATAATTGATTAATCGACATGGTTTTTTTTGTAGAGCTTGTTCTACATACCTTTTCTAGTGAAGTACCTGAGTTTTGATGTTTATCTTTAAAAGTTTTTTTTTGTGATTTACGATTATAGGGAAAATGGCTCTAATGTTGGCCTATGGATTTAAGATTGGGCCCATCGCTAAAAATCTGCTATTATCAATTTTATCTAACTGAACGCGTCATTGAGACGGTACTTATGACTATTTTTGGTCGCTTTTGAAAATTTAGTCGATTGCTGAATTTAAGTATGAGCCCAAATTAGGGCATTTAGGCCGAAATTAAATCCATTTCCTCTATTTGATATTTTTGCCTGAAAATCAGACCACTTTTTTGTCAAAAATCAATAGTTTTACAATCGGCCAGATACTTCACTAGTTTAAACATTCTAGTTTATGAAACTTTTATGCATTTTGCTCTAGGACTACCTCCGGCTGCAAATCATTTCCAACCGCAGACCACTTCACGCTGGGGATGCCATCAATTAAGCGCCACCCCGCTGCACATTTCAGAAACCCAAATTTGAGAAAATGTTATTTAAAATATTTTAAATGAAATGCTGAAAACTGCATTGTTTTACAAAGTTTCTGTTCCTCAAAAAAAAAAAAAAAAATCGCGAAATTGACCCTTTTTTTCGGCTTCTACACTGGCCTTACCCCCCTAACATCTAAAATAACATGAATAAAAAAAAAAAATAATGTCAAGTGACATGAATAGTTCTAAAATAATCTTGAAATCGTTTAAATTCTCAAAACACGAAACATTTTCTTATCAACGCCAAAATCTCCTAAAAATGTCAAACTGACCTGATCACTGATCCCTAAAAATGTTCAAAACGCCAACATATTTAACTCACATCCGCCAAGAATCGTTAAAGTTGTTCAGATTACCAGATACAGCAGAAGGACTAGTCTATGTTGGCAGCTTGAACACTGGATTCCGTGTGTATTGTTTCAAGATAGTTATAGCAAAAATGCTGTGACGTGTGCACGTAGATACATCCGCGTAGTAATCCGATTGAATAAGTAAATCCGTGTCGATCGAAATATCTAAATTATGTAAGTTACGAAAACCACGCGAATTTCAAACGCTGTGCAAAACAACCGGAGCGAGAAAAAAGGCTTATTTTCATTTAAAGAGAGCCACCAAAATAAATTTGATAGCCTATGTTGGCAAGTTGATTAATGTTCACAGCAAAAAAATAATTTT